TAGGTACTCAGATACCTATCAGAGCCAGGCAGATTTTCCTATTCAAATTTCCAATCAGAGTAATGACCACGACTTAGATAGAATTTTTCAGGGATTTGTGAGACAGTGCACATGCCTGCCCATCACTCACACTCTTATCTTTTTAGAGTAGCACCATGATTCTGCTTTGGGACTATCAGGTAGGATTATGTTGGGTTGTATGGTCTGTCAATTAACACTCACTTAAGCAAGATATACGTTTATTTTTCTATCACTTGAAACTCCAGATGAAGATGATTCAGGGCTGGTGTGGAAGCTCCACAACGTTTGGGACCCATGCTCCTTCTATCTTGTTGCTTCACAATGCGTTTCCTCCATTCTAAAGTCACCATGTAGATGCCTTTTTCATCTCCAGCCATCATGTTCACATATTGGCCATCAGTAAAGAAGTAAAGAAATGCCATATCCCCCATATTTCTTGGAAGTTTCCAGCATTATTTCCATTCATATTCAATTGGTCAGAATGTTGCCATATCACTTTGTAGCTTAAAGAGATCCTTCGAAATGTAGTCTTGATTCTGGGTGGCTATGTGCCTGGCTGAAAATTATGGGTTTTGTTACCAAGGAAGACCTGAAGAGCAGTTAGGGAGGACAACTAGTAACCTTTGCCATCCCTAGAAAAATAGTTTTCCTTTGTTCTTTTCCATGTGGTTTGTATGGGCTGAGCCTATTTCAAAGATAGGCATATGACCAAGTGTGATATCACTGTTTTCTAGTTATATTTCACTGATTGAGAGCAACTCAACTCTTCCCAGTGAGAATCAACCACAGGACTTTTGTTGAAGTTTTTAGAAAAGAGAAACTTTTTTTTTTTTTTTTGAGACCATGAAAAGTCTAAAATAAACCTGATGGTCATCTCTGCCATCAGGAGGAGAGTCTCTGAGAATGAAGCCAAGAAAGAGGAAGGCAGGACTGAAAGATGGAGACTCAGACTCCTGGTGGTATCTTTTGACCCTCTGAATCTAGCCATGGAGGAATCATGGTTCCTGGATGGTTTTGCTCCAGCTGATGAGTTGTCTTTCTGTTAGTACTTGGAATTGAAAGAGTCCTGACTAATACAAAAAACAAACAAAAACAGCTGCTGTCCCAATTGCAATGAATAGGGACCAGTTTAATAAAAAGTGGTAAAGGTTGGGTGGAGCCTTTTTTTTTTTTTTTGAGGTAGGCACAGATGAGGACTGGAGCTCTTCCAAATTTGAGACAATCATAGGATCCAGCTACTTTCTTCATTTTCCGTACTTCTCTTTGTACCTTATTTCTTTTCCTTCTCGTTCTTAACTACCATTTTCTCTTTACAAATCAGTAATGATGACTGATTTGCAAGCAACAGCAACTGACTTTGGCTAATATAAGCAAAAAGAGGAATTTAGGGTAGCTCTCACAGGAAAAGGACGTTGAGGTGACTCACAAAATTAAGAAGGGGGCTGAAGAACTTGGCTTATACATAGAATAGCAACCACAGAATATACATTTCTTTCTCTTCCCTTTCTTTCCCTGGGTCTACATTTCTCTTTTTCATCAGCACTATCTTGAATCTTCCTTCCCACTGTCATACTCTGCATTTAAGACCTTGAATTTGAAATTATGAAGCAAGAAAATTTTCTTTCCCTTAAGTCTTTGATCCAATCAAGCCTTATTATTCAGTTTTATTCAATGTAAGTTTCAATTCTCTTCCCTACAGCAGAGTTTTGTAGACGGTAAGAAAATATCCCCAAAAGGGTGATTCTTACGAAGCAAAGAGCAATGAAGTGGTGTCATACAGTCTTCAGGTTCTGTGAGGTGCTAAGTTTACATCTGAGTCAGGAGGATGTGCATGAATAGTCTACATTTAGAAAAGAGGTTGGGAGTGAGAATGAGAGAAGATTTTAGGCGTGCTTCATTTTCTGGATAAAATCAATGAGCTCGTGGCTTCCAGATACTACCTATAGAAAGGAGCCAAATCTAGAAGACCAGGGGCTATGGTTGATTTTAAGGACTTTGTAAAATTTCAAAGCTTTTGTCATTCACCATGTTGATTACTTCTGTTATTGGCAATAATAACAATCATAATAATAGACACCATTAATTGAGCATTTACTCTGCACCAGGGACTGGGCCAAGCATTTAGATGCATTACCTAATTTAATCTTCTTAATAAACCAAAAAGGTAGGCATTATTACTATTTCATAAATAAGAAAACAGTCTCAAATAGGTTGAATTTACTGTGTTCTCACAGAT